TTCAGTGAATGCACATATGATACTGGTGGGTTCGGTACCTCAAAAAAGGTTAAGAACCACTGGTCTAGAGCTACAGGTTGATGTTAACGACAAACCACTTACTGGTCATCCAAGAGGTACATGTCAGGCCCTATAATGTTGACCGTATACTTTGAAAAACAAGTATGGGTTGTTTGGAAGGTACAAGAAGGAAATTCTTTCTGAAAATACAACTTTGCAAAATTGTATTTTCAGTTTAGGAATGAGCAGGAACAAAGTCATTTTTTAACTAATGGAACAAAGTACAGATATTCAGGCATAATGAACAAAACCACAGATAGAGAAAAATTAAGACAACACATAAGAAGACCTCACACCAAGCACAGTGGTAGAAGGCACTACAAGTGGCTTATTTTGCAACTTGTACTACCTTTGGTAAGTATTCTGGAGTCAACTGTGACAACAGAAGTTTGATCTCGATATGGTCATTGTGAGGGACCAAACTCAAACAAGGACAAAAAATTTTCAAAGTAGAAAAAGTCTTGGTTTTAATTCTTCAAAAAATTGTTGACAAAACATTAAGATTTAAAGCAAGAATAAATCAAAGAATAAATAACAAATTTGGATCCAAATTAACTGAGGTCAACTGAACTCCAACTAAACACAAACAAAACTGACCTACCAAACAAAGAACAAAGGCTGCTTAAATAGGGGTGGAGTAACCTAAATTTACCACTTGAGGGAGGTCTGATCTAACAAAAGAACAAATAAATACAAAATTAACTAAAGCATTCTATAAACAAATAAAGCAAAATTAACTTTAACTTAGCAAACAATAAGTGAATATTTAAGTGACAAAATTAAATAAAAACAACTTGAAGTCTCCCCCTTCAGTCTTTCAGAAATGTGTAGATGGTTTGCCCCAGGTTCCTCCACCAGCTGGTTCCTATAAGCGGCACCTCAAACAAAAACAAGTATAAGTGAACCATTCAGACAGACATTAACTAAAGTGTGCACCCATTACAAAATATATGTCTAAATGAAACAAACTATACTAATAAAGAAATAAATACTAACACTATGTGGTGGTGGTAGGAGCTTCCACCACAGTCATGCAACTGGATATTGATTAAAAAAATTGTCTGTAAATCTACAGGAGAATAGTTAAAATATCCCTTAATTCAGACTGAACTGTTGAAGTAAGAGTAATAGCACATCTACATTATCAAATATCCTAGAATTTAATGCAGCTTTGCACTAAAAATTTAATCAGTTCAAGGTGGTGATCCCTAAGATGACTCTACAAAGTTAATTGAAAATGTGGATCTTGGTGTGCATCTGAGTTTAAGATCTTTTATGGTAGACTTTCCAAATTTACTTGTTTTTTTGTCTTTGCAGAAGAAGCATGAGGAGGACGGGGGCACCACAGACACAGCTACATTGCTCTCCAACCACCACGAAAAGGACAGCGGTGTTGGTCGCACAGACGAGAGCACCCGGAACGATGAGAGCTCTGAGCAAGAGAACCTCGGTGACGATCAGACGACCACAGCTTCCAACACGCTGGGCAGCTGCAGGAAGCTGACCTATAGCCAGGACACCCTCGGCAGCACTGACCTGCCCTTCAGTGGTGAGTCGCTCATCTCTGCAGACTACGCCGATGCTGACTTCCTGGGCATCCCAGCCGACGAGTGTGAGCGCTTCCGAAAGCTCCTGGAGCGAAAGTGTCAGATGAGGAGCGGCGGTGCTCAGGGCCTGTTCAGCCTGGCTGCTGGGGGCACTGAGGGTCAGACAGAGGAGGGCATAGATAAGGAGCTGGAGTTGCTCAATGAGGAGCTGCGCAGCATCGAGCTGGAGTGCCTGAACATCGTCCGTGCCCACAAGATGCAGCAGCTGAGGGAGCAGTGCCGAGAATCATGGATGCTCCACAACAGTGGCTTCCACAACTACAACACCAGCATAGACGCTCGCCGCCACGAACTGCCGGACATCACAGAGCTGCCTGAGAAATCAGACAAGGATAGCTCGAGTGCCTACAACACCGGCGAGAGCTGCCGCAGCACTCCTCTCACTCTAGAACTGTCTCCGAATAACTCCCTCCATCGTGCAGCAGAGAATCAGGGCGCAGTTGGACTGTCTGGATCTGGAGTCTCAAATGGCAAGATACACAAGCCCCTCTTGTCCCCTGTGCAGGAAGCCGGTGGCCCCAGGCGGTGCAGAGTCTCCTCTAAAGACCTAGACGGAGAGCTACAAGCCGAGAGCAAAGAGAGGAAGCTTGGGGAGGCGAGTAAGGGTGGACGAGGCTTTCAACCACATTCCCCTTACCAGCACGCTCACATCCCGGCCCACGCTCAGCACTACCAAAGCTACATGCAGCTGATCCAACAGAAATCTGCAGTGGAATATGCCCAGAGTCAGATGAGTCTGGTCAGCATGTGCCGCGATGGAGTCAGCCCCTGTGACCATGAGCCCAGGATGGAGTGGAAAGTAAAGATCCGCAGCGACGGCACGCGGTACATCACGAAGCGGCCAGTCCGGGACAGGTTGCTGAGGGAGCGTGCCCTCCGTATCCATGAAGAGCGCAGCGGCATGACCACAGACGACGACGCCATCAGCGAACTAAAGATGGGCCGCTACTGGAGCAAGGAGGAGCGGAAGCAGCACGCCATGCGGGCCAAGGAGCAGAAGCAGCGCCGCGAGTTCATGAAGCAGAGCCGAGTGGACTGTCTGAAGGACCAGAGTGCTCCCGAGGACAAGAAGGAGCCTAACATCATCGAACTCAGCCACAAAAAGATGATGAAAAAGAGAAATAAGAAAATTTTTGACAACTGGATGACCATCCAGGAACTGCTGACCCACGGCACCAAGTCACCTGATGGGACTAGGGTTTATAACTCACTTCTGTCTGTGACTACAGTGTGAGTCGGTACTGGCTTGGACAGAGAGAGAAATCAGAAAAGCCTTTTAGTTCCTACATTTTCATTGGAGAGTTCCATTAAGAAATGGCTGGGTTTCACTGAATGGGACTTTGCAACTGTAAAGCAATGATGTAACCTTTTCTACTTTTCAGCTCTTTTGGATATTTTTTGGAAACTGCAATATTTGACTCTTTTTGGAAGGTTTTGAAAGGGTGTAAAAAATGTGAGCCATACTTTACCAGCCAGCATTTACCAGCCAGCATTTAATTTGTATAAAATGTGTGGGGTTTTTTGTTTTAATTTTTCCCAAAAGATGCTGATTTCCCAAAGTTAAAGACCACCGGCGATGTACCATCTATTCCAACATGAAGAGAACGTTGATACTGATGTGTGTATGTACAATAACCTTTAGAGTAAGATGTGGAGTAAGCGTTTTATTTTGTGCACACATAGAGATGCTCTTGCTTTTGTAGAATTTTATGTATCGGGAAGAGAAACCAGCTTAACAAATCCCTAGTTAGCCTCACAATTTGAGTCCAATGAGTACAATGAGAGATAATAAATTATTGTTTTATATATGATGAACATTGAAATATTTTTGGAGTTTCATTTTTGAGAAATACTGAGGACCTAAACTAGTAAAAGCAGATCAGAAATCCTTGTAAGGCTAATTTTATTGTCATATTTGTATATTTGTACAGTTGCTCAAGACGCATTGATATTCATTGAACCCTTTCATATTTTGTGATGTTATAACAAAATAACTAAGTACATTTGACCTGAATTTTATGTTATAGTCCAAAACAAAGTAGTGAGTCATCATGCAGTTTAAGAAAATTGATACATTGCACAGATTAGTGTTCAGCCCAGGCCAATAGTCTTAAAATGTCGCCTAATAAGTTGAGGTCACCTATGTGTAATTTATAATGAATAAAATGAAACTGTTCTGCATAGGTGCTGTTTCTAAAGTTGCAGTGAAAAATTAACAAAAGAGGAGAAAAGAAATATAAATCTGAAGCCATTCTTGGATGACACTGTCTGGGCGCACAGTTAATGTAGGCCACCGCTAGCTTTAGCACATTTGGGACTTTTATTAGATGAGGGAACATTTTAGCCATTTAACACCCACTTTACATGGTTTTGAAAGTGTGTAAAAAAATGTGAGCCATACTTTACCAGCCAGCATTTATTTGCTAATTTCTTACTCATCTCTACAAGTGTTTTTTACCACAAAAGTCAATCAAAAGACAGTAGCTACAATTTTATTATATATATATATATATATATATATATATATATATATATATATATATATACACACACACACACACACACAAGGTAGAGGCTAAGCAGCTAGCTGAAACCTATGGCTTCGCTTCTCTTCGGTCGTCGAAGACCCAAGGATGCAAAACCTGACTTTGGACACAGTTGTTATTTGTTTGACTCCCCCTAGTGGTCTGGATCACTTCTGTTTTCAGCATTTTTGTTTGCATCTCTTTTTTTGTTGCATGTGTTTTTCTCGTCTTTGCTGGGTGTTTGTACCTGTTGGCCACCGTAAAATACAGTGGTGAAAGTAAATATACCTTCAAATAGTAGCGCTCCAGTATTTTTACAGTAAATTTAGTTTTACTACTGCATTCACTTTATGAGTAAGCTACTGCCAAGAAAACTGTAATGCTACTTTTTAAAGTACAGTCTTAGTTTTACGATAGAACATTAATACCTAACCTGAATGAGATGCCACTCAAAGTCCATCAGGTTTTTGATGAGGGTAGAAACCTGCACATTCACGGCTTTTGTGCCCCTTTCTGGGTTAATCCCAATGAAGCAACTAAAAAACAAAATAAAAAATGGGAAAATTCCTGAGAATATAAATAGTGTGGCATTTTGAATACAGCTGGTACAATATATAAATAAAGCTGTTTTTAATTATGTAAAGAGAAATCACCACCTTTGTCAAATGTTAATCATAACTTGCTTTAAAACCATGTCATTGTACAAAAAAAAAATACAGGAATGGTTTTACCGTTGAATGAACCAAAGTCTTGGCTGCCTCATTGGAGGCTGAAGATGAAGAAGATGGACAACACTGTCCTGTCTGGAATGTTGGCTGGACCCTCTCAAAGAATATGGCCATCAATGCTGACCATGCAGAAAACTGCTTGCCACAGGGACTGTAATAAACAAAGTCCTTAAATGGAAGAACATAAAACAAATCCTCTTATTGATACAGTATGCATTTAAATGATCATCATAAAAAAGAGTGTCCATTCTGCCAGGTAAAGTAAAAGCAAGGATCTTAAACTCAATTGTCGTGCAAGTCACATCATTGTTGAAAACTGTAGGCTGGATTAATGTATAGAAGTTATAGAGGAATTCGTGGTACTTTGCACTGAAGGTGAAGTGTGCTTTGGAAGTTCATCAAAAGCTACCTTGGATGATCTTGTGATCACTGATGTGAAGTGTCTGTGGTGCTGCTCTTGTTTTCACCAACATGCAGGAGGAAGGGCTGTCCTGGTTCCACACAAATGAGGAAGGCTTCAACACTGGCTTGCATCTTTGACATAATGATGAGAAGACGAATAAAAAAAATTATTAAAAATTATTAAATATATTTAGCTACATTCAGATAGCAAACAAAGCTAATGAGAAAGTGCTTCTACAAAGAAGTAGGATCATTAGAATAACCACATACATGCACATATCTGACAACATGGTCCACAGTTTGACATGAGCTGTTTTGGATTCTTCTTGTGGCCTTTGGATGTAGGATGAAGCACATGAACCAACAGAAGAATGCCTGGTTTTCCCAGCTGGAGGAACAACAGGATAAATGGGAAGCACATTAGGATAATAAATAAACATTTTAAAGAGAAGTGTGAGCAAAACTAACCAGACCCACCTGTGTGCATCACTATCACAGTCATTCAAAATACTTTGTCCACCCGGTTTACCCCGGAGAGCATTTTTTTACCACCTTCAACATAAAGCATATAATTGTCAGAAAAACAGGGCTTAACGTAAAAAAAAAAATCCTGAGCCTGGAACTTATAGTTATGATAGAAATTAACTATAGCATTGCTATTGCCACAGTTTAATAAAAAGTGTCTTTGAATAGTGCAAACAATTGCTTCTAACAATACAATTAACAACCTAAACACTCAGACTTAAATAAGACTTCAGTACATTTCAACTCAAAACAAAATGTAAAATGTCTGTATGGAGTTAGATTTGTTTCACAATTATTCAATAAAAAAAAAAATCATGTCAAACAAAAAAAGTAGTATTCAATCAAAAAAAATCATGTCAAAGCAAAAATCACTAAGTTTTTTTTTAAACTTTTTTTTTGGTTGAAACTTGTTTTTTTTTTTTGGTTGAGTCTCTTTTTTTTGGGTTGAACTCGTTTTCTTGCTTATACAACTTTATTTGCTTT